TCGAATTAGTCTAATCTTCATTAAAAAACAAGCTCCTCAAAGCATCCCTATACTTATATAAGCTCTGCAAAGTCAAAATGAAGTAGCAAACCGGGTATGCCCAGGGCTTACAAGATCTCTGTCTTCTATTCTCCCGCATCGCGTAAGAAGCCTCACCTACTTATAGATGTGGGTAGTAACTCTTATTGCATTGTCGATCTTTGTTCGGAAAACAGACAATCTCCCTATGTCTTCTAACATAAGATCAAGGCAATTAGCTACACAAGGAGTCCAATATAAAGTGGGTATGTGTTGCTCCAATAATTCATCCGCTGCCTTGAAATTAGCATCATTGTCGGTTACTACCTAAACTACGTATTCTTTGCCCATTTCTTCAATTTTCGTATGAAGTAAATCCGTCAATAATGATGCAACTTAAGTATGACTTGATGCATCAATCAACTAAAAAAAGATATACTTTATGGGCTATTGATGAGGAAGGAAATAAATCAAATGCCGCGATTTTTTATCCGTACACCCGTCAACCATAACAAAACAACCATATTGCTTCAAGCAATAACATATTTTTCCTTCAGTGTTTGTGTCTTTTTCACCGTTTTCTCCAAAAGAAAAACTTGTAATTTATGATAACTTAGACTTTTTACACCCGGTCCCATCTGTCCCGCGGACTCAATCATCATCTCAAAACTTCGAGATTTGGCCACATTAAATGGTATGTCATTTTCATAAAAAAAAAAATAAAAATCGGAAATGTGTTCATGAAATATTTTGATCTCTTTGTTGCTCTTTGCACATGCTTCTAATGTTCTTTGAAGGTCGCTACTCTCTTTGTTGTGTTTTTCCTCAATTACTTCTTCCGGGGTTTTTCTAAGCATTGATGCAACTGATTTGCTTTTTATTCCACCTTATGACGACCATGATGGAAAATTTAAAACAGATTGTGAACGCTTCCTCTAACTCAATATGACTAGGCTGCTTTTCTACCGTCTTTTTGGTTAAGAATTCCTGCATTTTATTCTGGATATTTTCGGTAGTCTTCGGACATTTTTCTACATCTCCGATATTGCTTAGCAAATATTGTTTTAATCACTTTATTCCCGATCGTATTTGCTTGTGGCAAAGCGAATATTCTATCAAATCTTTATTTTTCAAATCCGGCCAAAAAGTATATTTTCGATCCAGATCATTTGATTTGGCTTTTCATTTGAGATCTTTGGATGGGTCTAACGTAGATGTTTCACTCTCGGTCATAGCAAATTAATCCTATAAATATTTTTATATCAATATGTCAGCATAATACAAAATAAATCAAAAAATTCCTATAAAGTAAAAAAATATAGAAAATACGATACAAAATAAAATAAATAATTCTAAAATATATGTAGATAAGTATCACTAAGACACAATATAATATATACATTATACACTTAATACTAATAAGTAATAAACTAATAATAAAATAATAATATAAAAAATAAAGCAAATAAATTTCAATATGCAATTGTCATTCTCGATTCTGTGAAAAAATCAGAATTCAAAATCGCTCGTAAGAAAACTCACCAAAAATCGACACAAAGAAGATGATCGGACCGGTGGGATGGAGCGATTGAATGGACCGGCGGGCAGGCAGAGGAGATTGACAAGCGGCAATGGCGGAAAAGAAGGAGGCAACGGTTCGAATCGAATTGATTGAAGAAGGGTTTTTAGATTTTAGACTGGCTCAATTCGACCTGCCGTTCAGGTAGGCATGGGCTGGTTTGGATTAGGGCTTGGCTGATTAGATTGTGCTCAAGATTAGAAGGATTTGGACACACCGCGGCGTTGCCATACCGTCATATGTCGTAAGACGGGGCAGTGAAGCCTGGCGCTTCCCAAAAAGCGCCAGGACACCGCGGCATCTGCATAGCGCCTGCCATAGCAACGCCGTGACAACCATGGGTCACCGTTTGATGTAACTATTTTTGTGTTATGCTAATCTTACCAAGATTCATATCTAAATACTGAAGGTGTTTGCTGATGTTGCTACGAAGTGTTGGTTATTGATGTATTTATTTTGTTGAATTTGTAGAAATTTTGTTCATTTTTACCATTGTGCTTTGATTATTCGTTGAAAAAGTAATAAAAATGAGAGGTGTTAAGCTTCAATTGATGTTTCCCCTACAAAAAAGGTACTTCCCTACATACTTATGTGATAAATTTATTAAGTGTTATGTATAATCATGCAAAGTATTTGTTTTAGATATTGTTAAACCCGAGAAAAAATACAAAAGGCTTACCGCCAGATTTGCTATACATTTCTCCCATAACAAGATAGCTCAACTGAAGTCTGTGATGAACAAGAAACAATTGAAAGCTATACAACTCACCCCGTTTGGGAATTTTTTTTATTGTCCGGAAATAAAGCTACCTTAGCATCTTTTGTGGGCAATTGTTAATGTGTTTGAAATTGAATTTCGATTGTGTAGAATTGGATAGCAGTTTGAATTAAGTTTTATGCTGAAGAATACTCTATAGCACTTGGATTAGACGCAAAAAACATGTATCTTTCTGACAATGCTATCGTACCATGTGAAAGGACTCGTTGATTGTTTGTGGTAGCGCTGAGCAAATTAAACAAAAAAAAAGAAATATCTAGAATTCATTTCTCTTCCCAAATCCATTACCCCAAAATAAAAAGAAAGCGAAATAAGGAATGCAAAGGAAAGACAAGACTAGGAAGGCTAAGCAGACAATTAAGTTAAAGTTGGTGAAATGTTTGTATGTAACATTGTTCTTATTTGTATATACTTTTGTTATTTTATAGAATTTATTTATCTTCTCGACTAAATTCCCTATTTTATTTTTTCATATACTTTGTTTTTTGATGGAAATATTTTATATATAAAATTATATAATTGTGTATACTATAAGTAAGGTATTAACAAGTTATATAATGCAGATTCCTAGTAAAAAATCCCTTACCTAGCCATTTCAAATTCAATTGAGCCCTGGGTTCGTTTCTTTCATTATGTCTCAATAAACATGAACCCTAATCCATCCGCGGAGCGGTGGCATACTGATTTATATATGCCTACCTAAAATCTTCATTACATTCACAACGACTCTCTCTCTCTTTTTCGCTCTCTCTATCTCAAGAGTTTATTGTTTTCTCCACCCAATTTGGGTTTGAGCAAAGTTTTGTGGGTAGTTAGAGGAATCGGCGGAAGAAGATTTGGGGAAATTGAAAACACTAAAAAAAATTTTATAGTGCACTGTCATGGAAGAAGGTAAACGATGTTGTTTCTTTTGCTGTGTGTAGAGTTATTGATGGAGGTGTGGTGGTGTGATTTTTGATTGATTAGACTCATGAAATCTTAGGTGATTTTTATTTCTAACATTTGATTTTTACAATTGTGCAAAAATTATATTGATATGCCTTAAAGCTAGTTTACCAATTTTTTTATCCGGCATTGTAATGATGCATCTGGAAGTTGGATTCAAGTCAAGATGGAGATTTGTTGATATGCCTTGAATTTGGAGATATTATTTGGATATTATATATTATATCCTAGATATTATATCCAAGATGTAGAATATGATTTGAATAGTATTGACATAGGCTTATGCTATAAATAGATATGTATTCTCATTCTGACAAGTGGCCAAGCGGCTCAAATTTGTAACATATGACCTAGACGCCCTTGATAAACTCTGTTCTCCATTTTTGCCCGTGGAGGTAGCTAACACGTTGTTGGTGAACCACGTAAATCTCTGTCTTCTTTATGTTTTCTGTTTTTTATTCAATCATTAACCCTAATCCTTCATAACAAACTGGTATCAGAGTCTGGTTGTTTCGATTAGGGTTTTGTTTATTTCCGCACTGTTAGGGTTTCGTGAGTCGATCAACAATGTCTGCTTTCAACGCGGGAGAAAAGCTTATGGCAGATCAAGATGCGATCTTTGCTAAAGTAGCAAGGTTTGTGGGCGTCGCTATCTGGAAAACCGAAAGGTAAAAACGTAGATAAAGAAGAGTGGAATACCGCAGAGGAGAAGTCCCACTCGACAATCATGTTGTGTCTGTCCGATGATGTAATCATCGATGTTTCCGATTAGGAAACTGCTGTTAGCCTTTGGAAGAATTTGGAGAGTTTGTACATGACGAAATCTCTAACCAATGAGTAGCTTTTGAAGCAACTCATAGAAAGTTTCGACATTGTTTGAACTTGCAAAATGTCACAAACTGGTAATTGCCCGATGAAGGGCAAATTTGAGGAAGAATGGAGGAGTTTGTTCATCTGTCATTGTAATGATGCATCTAAAAGTGGGTTCAAGTCAAGGTGGAGATTTGTTGATATGCCTTGAAGCTAATTTACCACATGTTCATCTAGCATTGTAATGATGCATTTGGACTTGAGAGATTCAAGTCAAGATGGAGATTTGTTAATATGCCTTAAATCTAGAGTTATGATTTGGATATTAGATATTATATCCTAGATTTAAAATATGATTTGAATAGTAGTGGCATAGACTTATGCTATAAATAGACATGTATTCCCATTCTGATAAGTGGCCAAGCGGCTCAAATCTGTAACCAGTGACCTAGCCGCCCTCAATAAAATTTGTTCTCCGTTTCTACCCGTGGAGGTAGCCAACACGTTGTTGGTGAACCACGTAAATCTGCATCTTCTTTACGTTTTATGTTTGTTATTCGATCATTAACCCTAATCCGTCACAACAAACTAATAAAAGCTCTTAATAAAAAATAAAGGTTGGTGCGCAAAAAGAGTGTAGATACAAATTTCCAAGGAATGATTCGTGTGCTTATATTATGTAGATTTGTGTGTAGTTATTCCTTGTGGTTCTTAGGTTTATGTTGTTCTTAGATGACTTGATTACTTGCCATTAGAATTGTTTGATGCTCAGAGGAATAATGTAACATCAGTGTTGAAGAAGTAGTTAAAATGCAGATATGATAGTCCAGATATTTGGGTCATTTCTGAATTCTGGATAGATTCTATCAGGATTCAGATCATAACCTCGAAGCATGATTCACCAAAGTCTATGAAAACTTTGGAGCTTTGTTGAGTTTCAGACACGATGAAAGCAGAAATTTTTGAGGCAACAGGCTTGACCGAGAAGCAAGTTAATGGATGGTTTTGTCACCGAAGGTTGAAAGACAAGAAGCTTTATTTTAGCTCTGTAGCTAGAGGGTTGGAGCACTCGAGTGCAGTAGTAGTGCAAGATCATGGCAGCAGGCATAGGCCAGATTTTTGCGGCAGTACAAAACTAGGAGATAATAGGAATTTTTTATACCAAGAAAGTCGAAAGTGGTAGAGTAATTCTTCCAGAACATTCGGTGTGGAACTCGCATTTTCCAGAAACAAAAGAATCATATACGACACATCGTCCGGGAGTAGTTCTTCATTGAAGAGCCTGCCTGGACATAATATAGTAAAGCCCACTTATTTGGCAATTTCCGGGTACTTACTGCCAAAATCTTCTCTGGATATGCCTGCTGCAAAACCTAGGTCAGGCCCTGCGGGATATTTAAAGCTGCTGAAGTGCACGTCTGAAAACCATGAGATAACTGTTGTCAAGAAGCAGCTGGGAAGCCTCTATACGGAGGATGGTCCACCACTCGGTGTCGATTTTGACAGTCTTCCTCCTGGTTCCTTCAAATCAAAACAGGTTCAAGTTGATGGTAGGTTCATTGTATGTTTACTTGTCTTCCATGCTAAATTCTTAGTTTTCTTTGAATCTGTGATGGTGTTCTTAAGGTATCAATGGAAATAATACTTTGTTTATTGACGCATCTCAAGTTTTGCACAACTGTTGCATGTTTCCTTTCAATGACACCTTTTCTATATCTGAAAGCTCCAGCCTCAGTTACTTATTTTTTTTAACCTCTAATTTTCATAAACCAGAAAACTATGGTACGTGAGAAGGCATTTCACCTGCTTTAGGTTGTATTTTGAATCTCCACGAGCACCTCAAGTTTGGAAAGGCAAGTGAATTTAGGAATGATTTTCTTTTTCATTTCTATCATTAATTATTTGGAGCTTTTGATAAAACTATATAATCATGAAATATTATGGAACCCTTTAGTGCAATAATAGGGAAATAATATCGATGAAATTTGTGTGAAAGAGACCGTCGATGTGTTTGACTATCTGAATATGATAAATTCTCTGATGATTGTTTACATGCTCTAGATGTTGCCCTTTAGTGCAATAAGCTTTTATGGATCTCGACATCTGTCATGCTTGAATAATTGTCTTTTCTGATTGCCGCCTCTTTTGGCTTTCTAGTTTCCTCCACGGGCATAGATGCAATAGTCGCCTTTTAACTTTTAGATTGTTTTGTTATTACTGTATTAAAAGTTTTATTTGTTCCTGAAGAACTCTCAAATTTGGAAGAAATAATATTCTTTCTTATATCTATTATGAGGTTACTTAACCTCTATATATACATGAGTCTACAGTCTATTTTAGGACAGCTAATTCTAAGGAAAACAAATCCCTGTGATTATGGGATTGATCCTAAATACATAAACCTAGTAATTGAAACATACATTGTTATAGGAATACAACACCGTAAATATAAAACTTCCTAAAGTTGAGTGAAGCCTTTGGCCGCTAACCTTGCCTTGTAACGTTCGATGGTCCCATCAGCCCTGTACTTTACTGCATATACCCACTTGCATTCTATGGGTTTTTTTCCAGGTGGTAGGGCGACAAGTTCCCAGGTCCTACTTTTGTTCAAGGCCTTTATTTCCGCATCCATGGCATGTTTCCATTTCCTGTCAGACAATGCTTCATATATAAAGTAAGGTGTGTGTATGGAGTTGAGGTTTGTGAGAAAGGTTTTACGGGTAGGTGAGAATTTTTCAAAGGATAAAAAATTTGATAGTGGGCAAAGTGGTTGTCGGGTGCCGGTTCTGGTTTCCTTTCTAAGGGCAATGGGTAGGTCTAGAGCTTGGTCCACCTGTGTTTCTATATTTTCAGAAACAAACTTATTAGTCTCATTGGAATTTATAGGGTTTGAAGGTGTTACCTCTGATGGGTTGGATTCTTGGACAATGCCAGATTCTGGAATGGCCTTTCCTCTCCTTGAATATACCAGATTCTTCCCAAATTTTCCACCATTAGGTGCCAATTCAGGTGCAGGTATTTCTGTTGGTTTAGGTGCAGGTTCAGGTACTGGTATTTCAGGTTCAGGTGCAGGTATTTCTGTTGGTTTAGGTGCAGGTTCAGGTACAGGTATTTCAGGTTCAGGTGCAGGTATTTCTGTTGGTTTAGGTGCAGGTTCAGGTACAGGTATTTCAGGTTCAGGTGCAGGTCTTCCTTCAATTTTAGGGACAGCGATGCCATTTGTCCCAATTTCAGGTCTAAATGTCATATTTGGAAGCATGAGAGTCTCATCTTCCTTTCTTACATTCTCACCCCGAAGATGAGGCTGCTTGAAGTAGCTCTCTTGTTCGTTGAAGGTGACATCTCTTGACACATAGAATCTTTTTGATAAAAGGTGAAAGCATTTATATCCCTTTTGTGTGGTAGAATACCCTAAGAATACACATTTGATAGCAATAGGGTCCAATTTTCTCCTTTCATTACTATGAACATGCACAAAGGATACACACCCAAATATTATCGGTTGGAGTTTATTTGTAGGATCCAAGTGTGGGTAGAATGAGGATAGAACTTCCATTGGGCTTTTTGAGTTTAAGATTTTAGTGGGTAACCTATTGATTAGATAGGTGGCAGTAAGAAGGGCTTCCCCCCAAAATCTCTTAGGAACATGGTTTTGAAAAAGTAAGGCTTTAGTTTGATATAATAAGTGCCCATTTTTTCTTTCTACAATCCCATTTTGTTGAGGTGTGTTCACACATGACGACTCATGGATTATCCCTTCTTTGTGGCAAAAAAAGTTTAGGACAAGGTTAAAGTAGTCTTTGGCATTGTCAGACCTAATTCTTTTGATACCGACCCCAAATTGATTTTTAATCATTGAGACAAATTGAACAAACACGGAGCTAATCTCATATTTTTGTTTCAATAAAAAAACCCCAAGTCACCCGGGTACAATCATCTATGAAGGTTAAAAACCATTTAGCACCTGAGATATTAGGAACATGAACAGGACCCCATACATCCGTGTGAACAAGATAAAAAGGGAAAGAACTCATCTTGGTGCTAATAGGAAAATGTACACGCTTGTGTTTAGCAAACTCACACACCTCACAATGGAGACTCTCCACATTTAAATTTTTAAACACGGAAGAAAAAAACACCTATATAACTCGAAATGAAGGATGTCCTAGATGGCAATCGTAAAGTTGGGCTTTCTCTTTATTGGTCATGGTGGACTTAGATATGAGAGAGTGGCTCTTGGTAGGCAGATTAGGATCCCCCATGTAGTATAGGCCATTCCATTCTCTAGCATGTCCAATCGTCCTCCCCGAGTTCTTGTCCTGCAGTACACAAGAGTTGCTATAAAAAACAACATTACATGGGAGGTCTTTTGTGAGTTTCTGTATAGAAATCAGATTGGTAGATAGTTTAGGGACATGAAGGACATTTTTTAATGTCATGGATGGGCTTATCTAACCTCTCCTTGTCCTGCTGCAGTTATAAAGGTTCCATCTGCTGTGGAAATTTTCTTGTTGATAGGACATAGGGAATATGTGGAGAAGTATTTGGGTAGAGGGGTCGTATGGTCAGTGGCTCTAGAGTCTAATATCCAGTAATGTGTAAATGGTGTATCTGAAACATTAAGCCCAACAGGAAATGGAAACTTACCCGAATATGTTACGGAGCATATACCTGTGGATTTCTCCAATTTATTGAGGATGGATCTTACCCGTTATATTCTTCATGATTCAGCTGGACAGATTCTTCACTTTGTCCATTAGCAATGTGTGCTTGCCTTTGCCTTTTTTTTTTTTTTTTGGAGGGCCTCCTTTCGGCCTCCATTCTCGGCTTGGGGGTTTTCCATGTAATTTTCAGCACTTCTCCCTTGTATGGCACGGCTTGTTACAATGGGTACACCAAACCTCCTCATGTTTTTTTCTCTATATTGGGAACCCAACATTTCATTTGGTTAGCAACAATGATTCTTCCTCATTCCGCTATCATTGCAGAGCTTTCAACGGTTGAGGTCTCCAGCATTGGTCCTCTCTTGCTTTCTTCACTCCCGATAATGGCTACCACTTCATTAAGCCTTGGGACTTTCTCTTTTCCCAAGATTTGAATTCGGACCTGGTCATATTCAGGATGTAGGCCTACCAAAAAGTCATAGACTCTATCTTGTTGAATATACTCCTTTAGAATGGCTGAGTCTTCTGAACACTTTGCTTTTATAACTCTATAGTGGTCCAATTCCATCCATAAGGACTTGAGTTGATTGGCATATTCTATAACAAATCTATTTCCCTGTTTGGCAGCCACGGTTTTCACCTTTACATCATAAATTTGAGCAGCATCCTTGGCCTTAGAATAAGTTTTTTCTACTGCCTCCCAAATTTCTTTTACTGATTTAAGAAACATGCAGGTACCACTGATTTCTGGGACCATTGAATTCCATAGCCACGCTATGATCATGGAGTCTTTTTCGTCCCATGATTTGAACAAGGAATCTGTTTCTTTGGGTGCATTACCAGGGTGCATTACCAGTCAGATGACTAATCTTTCCTTTTCCTTTCAAGATGGTCCTAATGAGTTCAGACCATTTGAGATAATTCTTCCCATTTAGCCGATAAGCAGAATGAACATTCTGCAATTCTTCGACAGTCTGGGGTTTGTCCCCAGTTTCCAGGTTCACGACCTCAGCCATGACCAAGTGCAATTAAGGTAAACAGAGTTGCGCTGCAATGAAGGTTGCGACAGGGCTTAAAGGTAGCGCAACAATGAAGGCTGCAACTTAGGTTTATAATCACGGTAAGAGACTCCCAAGGATCGAATGCTCTAATACCATGTCGGATACTGAATGACCGTCTCACCTAAAAGCTTGAACTGTTAGGAGAACGCAGCCATTAATCATATATCCGCAAATGGGAGCCCGAACACGCCCCCTCAGGTGCAAGTGGAGGTATGCGAAACCTGCACATGCATATGCGCGCAAATAGTGACAGTGGGACTCGAACTCGAGACCTAGCCAAGCTCTGATACCATCTCAAATTTGGAAGAAATAATTTCTTATATCTATTATGAGGTTACTTAACCTCTATATATACATGAGTCTATAGTCTATTTTAGGATAGCTAATTCTAAGAAAACAAATCCCTGTGATTATGGGATTGATCCTAAATACATAAACCCAATAATGGAAACATACACTGTTATAGGAGTACAACACAGCAAATATAAAACTTCCTAAAATACACAAATACAATCACAGTTTTGACAAGAACTATTCTATCAATTCTCGCGACTTCTGTATTTACCATTTTCCGAAAACCCACTTGGTTAATTTTTGTTCATATTTTGTTCCGCATGAAAGTCAGATTACACGTCATATGAGTAATTACAATTATTTTGGTCTCAATATTGCAGGGATTGGCTCCAGTGGACCATCACTCAGATTGAAAATGGATAGAGCAAGTTTTAAGGTCCCTCAAGGATTTGATGGGCTGGACATCATCGGGCACCAAAAATTCAAGCAAAGCACTTACCCTGGTTACTATTCCGATAGATTACTTGAAATTGTTGCCAAAGGTATTGCTGTGGCACCCGACTGCTATGCAACCGACCCAGCCATAAGATTCGACCCCACACGCACTGTCATCAAATTGCATTACTGATTTCAAATCTTGAAAAAGCTTTTGCATTTTCATTGCCCTGATTCGGGTTACGTTTATTTCTGTAGGTCTGGTGGCAAACCCGGGATTGGAGGTAGTATTAGTGGTGAAAAAAAGGCAAAAAGGGCAGCAGAAACAAGTTCTTCTGTGGAGTAAAGAACTCCAAAGATTGGCGTCAGCAGCATCAGATCTCCTCTTTAAGGTGAGGTTTTGAACAGATTTTGGTTTTATTGTTTTGCATTATTGAGACAGAATTATTTATGTATATTTTCTTGCCTCAGTACTTTTCTTGTACAACATTATTTCACTCAACTACTTAGTCTGTGTTTGGTTTGTATTTAATTTGTGTTTAAATAGTAGTTGAATTTGATGTTATACAAGAAAAAGATAATGTATTTTATAGGAAATCGCAAAGGCTGAATCTTTCTTGAATTTCTTTTTCTGAGCGTTCATAAAGCAAAATTCATTTTTAATCCACAAAAAAGATAGGGTTGGGCTGAGTTTTTTGTGATAAGATTAGAAATTGTTAAAATAAAAATTTGGGATTCAATTCGTAACTTCTATTTGATTAGATGTTTCATGTTTTACTTAAGGTTGCGGTTAGATGGCTAATTTGGTCAAATCGGTAGATGCTAATTGACATGCATATTTTTAGCACAGTATAATATATGTAGTTTATACATTGTGTTTTAATGTATATAATATAAATATGCTTCAATAATATATTGTGCTATGCATAATTACATCACATGTTATTTGAATACCCTCTAAGAATCGCATCTTTGCCTCTAAAACATAACTTCATCTTAGAAGTACCCTTTAAATACCTTAATATCCACTTGACGGCTTCCCAATGTTCACTCCCCGGATTTGACATGTAGCGACTAACAACCCCGACTGCATGAGCAATGTCTGGACCCGTACACACCATCACATACATGAGCTACCAACTGGAGATGCACAAGGGACTTTAGCCATATCTGCCTTTTCTTTGTCTGTTATCGGAGACTGATCTTTTGTAAGCTTGAAGTGGCTTCCCAAAGGTGTGTTTCTCAGCTTAGTCTTCTTACTATTCATGTTGAACACTTTCCCGATATACTTCTCCTGAGATAGTGTCAGAGTGTCATCTTTGTTTTTGATTATACTCATCCCAAGTATCAGTTTAGCTGGACCTAAGGCTTTCATCTCGAATGCCTCAAACATCTACTGCTTTAACTTATTGATTTTTGTTATGTCCGCACCGGCTATCAATATACCATCCACATAGAGAAGTACAATAATGTAGGAACCCTTAAACCTCTTCACATAGCAGCAATGGTCCATTTCACATCTCTTGTACCTTATTCTCACCATGAAGTTGTCGAACTTCAAGTTCCATTGCCTGGGGGCTTGTTTTAGATCATAAAAGCTCTTCTTCAGCTTGCAAACCAAGTTCTCCTTGCCAGAACACTGAAACCCCTTAGGTTGTACCATGTAGATATTCTCATCGAAATCACCATGTCTTAACATCTAGCTGCTCTAGATGTAAGCCCTCTGCCGCTACAATACTAAGAACCAATCTGATAGTGGTCATTCTTACTACTAGAGAAAATATTTCAGTGTAATCTACTCCATTTTTCTGCTAAAATTCTTTAACCACTAAGCGGGCTTTGTACCTTTTCAACCTATCTGGTTCATCCTTAATTCTGAATACCCATTTATTTTGCTTCTTGTCAAAATGAAGTTTTGTCAAAATCCATGTCTTGTTTTTGTGCAAGGAACTCATCTCTTTTTTCATGGCCTACTCCTACTTAATCGAATCATTCTGCTTGATTGTTTCACGATAATTTTTTGGTTCACCATTTTCAGTTAACAGAAAATAGTTTACGCTAGGATCGTATCTTGCTGGAGGTTCGGTGACTTTAGTGGATTCCTGACCCATTGTTACTCGGTTGGTTGTGGCTGCATCGGTGAAGAGGGAGGTCCTTCCTCCTCCGAACTTTCGCTGTCAAAGAAGTCCCCTAGATTGCCTTCAAACTCGTCAGTATTGGATTCATTCTCCTGACTCCCACTGTCTTGAGGACCCACTGACTTTTTGGTTCTAATAACACCATTATCAAACTCCCTGTTCTTTCGCAACCTTCGGACTTTCTGTGCTTCTGTCTTTGAAAAGTTCAGCCTCATTGAATGTGGCATGCTTGCTTCTGAAAACCTTTTTACTTTCAAAGTCGCATAGCCGATAGCCCATCTTGTCTTCTCCGTACCCAATGAATGTGTATTTTCTGGCTTTGGCATCTAACTTGTCACCATCTCTTGTGAGATCATAAGAACTGCATCCGAACACTCTCAAGTGTTCATACTTTACTGCTTCCCATTTTCACTCTTCTTCTGGTATCTTGAAACCCAATGGCACTGATGGTCCTCGGTTGATAAAATAGGCAGCAATGTTAACTGCATTGGCCCAAAACGCCTTTGGAAGTTCAGCATTCAGTCTCATGTTTCTAACCCCCCCCCCCATTTAGTGTTCTGTTCATCCTTTCTGCCACTCCGTTCTACTGAGGAGTGCCCGGAACAGTCTTGATCATCCGGATCCCGTGTTCAGCACAATACTCGGTGAACTCTGTACTGATGTATTCACCTCCATTATCCGATTTCAAGCACTTCACCTTCAGGTTAGTTTCTAATTCAACAACAGACTTCTATTTCTTAAAAGTATTGAAAACTTCAGACTTGTTTTTAAGAAAATAGACCCATAGCTTTCGTGTTGAATCATCGATGAATGTTACATAATAGTTTGATCCGCCAAAGGAAGAGACTGGTGTTGGTCCATAGACATCAAAGTGAACCAATTCCAACTTCTGAGCTTTCAATGTCCGCCCATCTTTGCAAAAGAAACTTTTTTTTTCTTGCCAAGCACACAGGGCTCACAAAACTCGGAATCCACCCACTTTAGATCTGGAAGCTTTTCTTTGTCACAAGCATCTTCATTCCTTTTATGCTCATGTGGTCAAGTCATTTGTGCCACAAAACACAAACTTTGCTTGCTGGTTACTGCATTCGCTTAATTTTTAGAGACATCAGCCATGTATAGAGTACCCCTCTTCTTGCCTCTGGCAATTACGAGATTGCCTTTGACGACTCTCCATTGCCCTCCTCCAAATGTAACGTTATATCCCTGATAATCCAGCTGCCCAATATAAATGAGTATTTTCTTAAGACTAGGGATTACCCTAACGTCCTTCAACGTCCAGATTGTGTCCGAATGAGTCTTTATATCTATGTCATCAATCCCTGTGATGTCAAGAGAGTCGTTATTAGCCAAACGAACTTTACCAAAGTTACCTGTCCGTAGATTCTTCATTGTCTTCGTGCTAAAAGTAGCATAGAATGATGCACCAGAATCTATAATCCACGACTCAGTTGAATTCACAACACAACAAATGAGTGCATCGTCTGAGCTGTTTGTAGTGGCAATTCATTTTCTTTTGCTCTGGCGGTTTTGAGCACTGATTTCTGAAATGCCTATACTCTTTGCAATTCCAGCATTGAATGTCCTTCATTGACTTTGACTAACCCCTCATTCTGGAATCTGATCGTCCTCTGTCATTCTCTTTTTCTTTCTTTCTACCTTTTCTTTCCGTGCTCAACAGGGCGCTTGAAGTTTCACCAGAGTTTCGCCTTTGTATATCCTCTATGATGATTAAGTCACGAATGCCTTCAAAAGTAAGTTTAGAATTTTCTGCTAAACTACTAACAACTGTGATTATTCCTGACCAACTTTCAGGTCATGAGGATAAGAAAAGCAAAGCCTGAATCTCATCGTCAAACTTAATATCCACCGACAACAACCGGGATATTATAGTATTGAATTTTTTTATATGCAAAGTAACAAACGTACGTTCTTCCATTCTTGTATTCACCAATTGTCTTATCAGAAATACCTTGTTGGAAGCAGATGGCTTCTCGTACAAGTTTGTCAACGTCTTCATCAACTTATATGTGGTAGTCTCTTTCAGAATATTGAGTCCAACATTTTTTGCTAGCGTAGATCTGATAACATATAGGGCTTTCTTGTTAAGGTTGTTCATTCATCATCGCTCGTCTCCTTAGGTTTTCTTCCGGTCAGAGGAAAATCCAGATCTTTCTGGCAAAGCAAATCCTCGATTTGCACCTTCCACCAACCAAAATCTTTTCCGTCAAACTTATCAATCTTGGTTTTTTCGTCCTCAGACATGATTTAATCATGCAAATACGAATTCTGCAATTTGCAGGATGCGTCAGATCGGATCTGCAGCGTGCTGTCGGCGATCATGGCTGCCGAGTACACTGGCAACGCTGCTGACGGATCTGACGGCTGACGGGTCTGACGCATCTGATAGGCCTGATGTGTCTGACGCTACTGTTCTGCCCTGACACAATTCTGCCCCTGCTGTGACTGCAGTATGCGCTGCTGTTCTTGAACAAGTTCTGTTGTTCATGAACAAATGTAACTCGTGTGAACAATCCCGCTCTGATACCACTTGTTATGACTAACTCTCACACACACGGTAGCAGAACTAGAATATTAAAAAGGGGGCAAAATTTTTATACAATTTTTTTTATTTATAAAATAATATTACTATCGTCCACTTAATAAGTTTATATTTACTTTTTGCATACTAATATTAAATATTAATTATTACATCAAATATAGTCCAAAAAAAAAGAATCTTTTTTATTAGTAGATATTGATATATTATATTTTGAAAAAAAAAAAACTAATGCAATTTCTTATTAAAAAAAAACAAACACTTTGATGTTTTTATTATTTATTTTAAATCAAAATAGTTGTCTTATTTTCCTATTTAATAATCATGGTCTTCATTATAAAACAAAACTATATCTATTTTTCTACCATATTTACCCTTAAAGACACTGTCATCATCACTTTAATCTATTTTTCAATTTTCATAAAGCAAAGACAATATAGTTATTTACATTATATTTTATATTTACTTTTATTTTAATATTATTGTTCCTTAAATTTCGTGTCCACTCTCAATAAGATATCTCGGATGGAGTATATTTAATTAATCATACAAAACTCAGTTAATATCTAATTCAATAATTTAAACCTAATTACCAAACACATTGTGCATATAAAAAGTCTAAAAAATAAGAAAAAAATAAATTGAAAAATAATTAGAGGACCACAAGACAAATTCAAGAAAGAAGAGGGACCGACCATAAACAACCAAACATCCATACATGATTTTGACAATTCTTGTTTTCTTTTCACAAAGTGCACATCATATCATATCATTCATTCATTTGCGCCCTCGTGGTTTTGGTCATCATCATCATTCTCCCAATTCAATTTAATTTAATTTAATTTGATTTCTTGAAATATTTTAAATTCACTAGTATTTCTAGAGGTGAAATATTTGTAAATAATACTCCCTCCGTCCCACATGTCGTGTATACTATACCGTAGATACAGTAATTTAGGAGGGGTGTAATTAGTAGATCATTAAGAATGTATTAGTGAAAATAATTATCCTATAATATAAATAATTATAAATTAAGATTAAAATAGCTAATTAATTTAATTAAAATTAAAAATAATTAATTAAAAAGTTTAAAATGAGATTAAAGTGTGTAATCATTTTTAAAAAAATGAAAGTAACATAGAATATGGGACGGATAGAAACAGCAACGTGGACATGATATGTGGGACGGAGGGAGTATTTTATATTATTATACAAAAACATAATATTGCGCGTATATTTACGTTTTTTCAATTACTTGTGTCTTTTATAGCATTGATTTAGTTTCTTTACGTGGAGTTTTTGTTTTAAAAAATATTAAAAATTAAAAATTAACATCTAATTAAATATATTGTAAAAAGTAATTTGTATTTAATTAGATATTTTTAAAAATATTATTGATAAATAATACAATTTTTTTTTCAAAAGTCTATATAAAAATAGAAAATTTGAGATATATGAATAATAAAAATTTAAAATGTAAATTTAAGTATATTTTAGATCAAACTCACTTTCATTAGGTTGTGTTTCTTTAAGGGGATTTTGGAAATTTTGGGTTTGGATTTGATTTTTATTTGAATTTTGAGTTGAGTTTGA